ATATGTTCCACTTTGATCAAAGCAAATATCTTTAACTTCATATGATTCCTCTAATTGAAGAGTTTTGAAATTTTTCAATTTACGCAAATCCCAAAGTTTCACACAAAAATCTTCTGCAGCAGTAGCTAAATAATAACCATTTTCAGAAAAACTAATTGCTGTGATAGGACCTGAATGACCTGGGAAATTAGCTACATTTGATTGTTCCTTTAAGTCCCAAATCTTCACTTGAGAGTCTTGAGTACCAGTGCCAAAGATCAATCCATCAGGATGAAATTGCGCTGTGGTTAAAGGTTGACTGACTTGTCCAGCAACCTAATAACATATTAAAATAACAAACGTATATAATATGTTGAACTTTAAAACTATAAAATTTTATTTCTGAAAATTATTATTTTTTTTATAAATATACCTTAGTTAATAATCTACCAGTACGTATATCTGAAAATGCCCAATGTTGATCTAAAGATGAACTTAATAAGTAATCCCCTGTTGGATGTAAAGATAGTCCAGTCACAGGAGCATCATGAGCTTTCAATAGCAATGTTGTTTGACTAGTTCCTACATTCCATATACGTATTGTAGTATCAGGTGATGCAGTCATTACTATATCTTCTTCTGGATGATAAATTACTCTAGTAACCTTGGAAATATTATAATAATATTAAATATCAAAAAATATTCAGAATTAAAAATAAATAATTTATACCTTTTTAGTATGTCCTTTTAATATTGCAACAACTTGTTCTGTATCTTTATTAAATACTGTGGCATTTTTATCTGCACCACCTGTTAAAATTTTACTAGTATCTGCACTGTGGATATCAAGTGCAAGTATACCAGGAACGCTAGCTGAATGGAGACCCTTAAAAGTATAAATAAATAAAATTAATAATAATACATGGAAATAAACAAATATTTATTATATAAATACAAAAAAAAATGTTACAGGATGCGATGCAAGTGTTTGAAATGCGCGAATACTATCTTGTGGAAGTAAATCTTCAGGAACTGAACGTCCACGACGTTTTCTTTCCTGTGTGAGTACTGTGGCTCTTTCCTGAAGTTTTTGTATTACATCCTCAGTAATTCCAGCTTGCTCCATAGGCTGAGCAGCTGTACCACCAGCTTCCACTGCAAGTGCCTATAACATATAGTTTATAAGCATATATTATGATATATAAATAAAATTAATAGAATTTTATTCTTACAGGTTGTGGAATGGTAGTAGCCTGAACAATTCCTGCTTGAGGTTTCAAAGTAGCTAAAGCTTCTCTAGCAGCAGTTACTTCTTTTGTCAATCTAGCAATTACACGACATGCTGCATCATGTTGATATAATGCATGAGATAATTCCTGTCTAGCTGTTTGAAGTTGTTGTCTAAGTGTAAATGAATGTAACATAACAGCATCCCATTCATCTTGTAAAATTTTTAATATAGCTGGAATTGAAGTAGCACTTGGTGGTTTAGGTTTCACTATTGCAGTGGCTATAAAATAATAATATTATTGATAATTTAACATTCAATAGTGAAATTTAATAGATATATTTTATAATATAAATAAATTTTCTAAAGGAATAAAAATAATATACTTTTAATATCAATAAGTTGGTCTGCAGTTAATTCCTTTCCAGTTATAGGATCTACTCCATTTTCGGCTAAATATTTTTCAATTAATCTCTTTTCAAATATAGAACCAGATACTGGAGATACAACCGGATGCTCCGGGACTTCATTAGAAACTGAAAATAAATATTTTTCTCAGAAAATTAGATGAAATATAATGCAGAGATTCTAGGTTATGTTCAATTCTTGCCGGTATGCATCAAATTTTATTACAAAAAAAACTAATTCATTTCTATTATTATAATATGATATCATCAATAAAAACTTAATACAAATTTTTATATTTTTAAATAAAAAATAATTAAATGAAAAAGAAAAAACTTACTTGCACAAGAAAGCGCCATTTTCACACACACAGGACGTGTTTACTACGCATGACATTTAAGTTGAAAAACTTATTAGTTTTTGCTATAAATTTAAATATATGCTATTTATATATATAAAAAACATTTTATGAAATTATAAAAATATATATGAATTACAATTATATTTATATATTACAAAATATTTAAATTATAAAAAAAATTAAATATATGAATAAAATAATTTTAATGAAAAATGAATTTTAATAAACAGAATTTATAATTAAATATAATATTTTCTTATTGAATGAACATTATTTATATAAAAATATAAAGATATTTATTTTAAATTTAAGATATATCAAGAATTTTTTAAGAAAGATTTATTATATTGAACATAGAAAATGCTATATATCAATTTCCGTTTTAATGAAGTAAACATGGCTTTTATAGTAACTGTCATTTTCTTTCTTGTAAATAAATAAATCATTTTTACAATTTCTTATGTCAATTCAAGAAACAAGTATTACGCATCTGCAAAAATTGAGGTATTAAATATATTTATTTTAACTAACAGAAATATAATTATATTAACATATTATGAGTTTAAATCAAATCAGAATAATTCAAAATATTAAAAACTTCGTTCAGAGCTGTACTGATAGTCGTTTAATCTGGTTCGCAAATATTAAACAATTTATCGTTAAAGACTTATTTACT